ATCTTTTTCTTATTATTGATTTCTGCATGGTTGTACGATAAATACCACTTTGTTTTGGCAATACTTTGTTTGAAGTTTAGTCTTTTGCCACCATCCCCACGCAAAATTTATTACAACCTGTTATCTCTTACTCTCTTAAGGCCTTTCCACACTGAGCGCGAAAAAGCTAAATGAATATCGGACGCGATGACGCGTTTAAATAAAACAATAGATTTATGTGTAGTGCCTCCTACCCTTAACCTTTAATAGGGCGGAGCACCGGTTTCTGACAGTGTGTCTCCCGACTATATATTAATATTCCTCCTATTACCCTATTTGGCTACTGTAACCCAGATTAACTAGGTTTATACTCCTACAGTAATATTCCTATACAGCATGGGAATTAAACCAACAGAGAATAGCCTTAATCAACACAAAAGGTAAGAATGAAAAAGTTAACAATTTGATTTATTTACAACCAACAGGGAAAACTTGAAATAAATGAATGTATGTCTCAATAAAGACTGGAAGGAATTACCCAAATGTATGTTGTGTATTTTACTTTGGATAAATACCTATAAAAAAAAAAACGGTTCAGTACTTACAGTCTTATGAAAATGACATTTGACCCAAATTAATGAATTTCACATTAAAATGGTACTCAATTAGCAACAAAAATAACAGCAGACACAATATGAAAGAGATGAGGAAAATTCAAAACCCCTAATACACTTAGGTTGTTTCAATAACACCAAACAACAGTATGAAACCCCAAACTTCACTTACTGTATGTAAGTAGAACATAAAAGATAATAACCGTCAATATATATATATATATATATGTGGGCCCACACACACTCACAGTCACACAACCCACCCCGTTGCAGGCCTGTAACGTTGCTGGGGAGCGTGGGGGCCTAGAAAACAGCAAATGGCCTCTTCACTCAAATGAGCCAAAACCAATCAAACAGATCACCTGAACCCCCTTTTTAAGGCAGCTGAAATCCGCGATCCTCTCCTTGGAAGCGGCAGATCGTCCTGTAGTCTCACAGGCAGTCAGCAGGATGGCGGCGCGTGTCTCACCCACGACGACAGCTAAAAAAATAACAAATCACGAAAGAAGGAACAAACATGCTGGGTCACAACACGTTTTGAGCAAGTGCATCACAAACAAACTTTATAGTTCACCGTAACTCTTAAACGGACAGTTCCTGAGTGCATCAACTGAGCACACAGACTGTTAGAATACTATCTGACTCATAAAACCTTATAAATATCACATTACATGGGAAAAGGTATTAATGTGCTTAATAATAACCCGCACTGGGTTACACTCTCCCGTGCTTAATGACTCATGTCCCCATGAGACTAGCCCACTACCTCAGTATTATGGCTCTAGATGTTTGATTAGCACTCAAACTATAACATTGGGGACACTGGGCCAAAGGGTGGCACCACAATGTTTGGCAAACATTAATTTTTCTTGGGAAATCTTCAACTTGCACCACCATACCCCTATATACCAGGGTTAAGGGTCTGTCCGTAGATTGCCCCAGTTCATCATAACTCAGTTTTTTCACTGGTTTTACTTCTCTCCTTGGACGAAAATCAACTCGTTCAGTTTCTGCTGCTTTAGGGGCATTCATGAATTGCCTGTCTCCCTCTTCTGATTCCAGATCCTCATTTCGATCAGGTGTTGGCAGAGAGATGCTTTCTGCTTCACACTCAGATAGATCTCCTATCACTTCCAGTTGATTAGGAACCCTTTCATGGCTTTTATGGACCTGTACATTCTCTGTGTTTAATGTGGGGGTGTGCATCTGCCTGACAGGTCTCCCTTGTGGAACTGGAACATACTCACACACACTACTGTCATCACTATCCGAGTGATTTATTGAATCACAACGATCTTGTGCTGATTGCTCTCTTTGTGTTCTCTCCACAGCTCTTGCCCTGGTTACCACTGGACGCTGGACATCCATCCTCTCATCAGGTAAGTACATCCTCACTCTATCTCCAATAGGTAACAAATGGTCTCGGTGCAACGTCCTGACACTCCCTGTGCCAGTCTTTTTTGTGTATAGGTTTTACCCTATACACAGGCAAGTTCAGCAACTTCTCCATGACAAGGTAGGGTAAGGAGTTCCAGCGATCCTGTAACTTGTGCTTTCCTGTGATGGCCAGGTTCTTTATAAGCACCCGATCTCCTTCCTCCAAAGTCTGATGTTTCACTTTACTGTCATACAGTCTCTTGTTCCTTTGCTGTGTCTTCAGGGAACTCTCAGAGGCTAACTGGTAGGCATGCTGCAGCTCTTTTTTCATTCTCTCGACATACTGCTGATGTTTCATCCCACTCTCCCCATCCGCTGAAGTCCCGAAGCATATGTCCACTGGAAGTCGCGCCTCTCTCCCGAACAACAGATAATAAGGTGAGTAACCAGTTGCTTCATTTTTGGTACAGTTGTACGCATGCACCAACTGACTGATGCTTTGGCTCCACCTGCTCTTCCTGGCAGGATCCAGGGTACCCAGCATGGAAAGAAGAGTTCGATTGAAACGCTCGGGCTGTGGGTCTCCTTGAGGGTGGTACGGCGAGGTCTGGGACTTGCGAATTCCCAGGATTCCAAGGAGTTCTTTGAAGAGCCTACCTTCAAAGTCACTCCCCTGGTCGGAGTGAATGCGTGCTGGCAAACCATAGTGTATGAAGAACTTCTCAACAAAGATCTTGGCCACTGTTAACGCTTTCTGGTGTTTGGAAGGATATGCCTGAGCATAGCGGGTGAAATGATCTGTGAACGTTGGAGATTCCCTTCGAGTCAGGTTCAATAGACAGGAAATCGATGCAGACCAAATCGAGTGGGCCACTGCTCGTGATGTGATTCAAGTAAGCAGATCTTTGAGGTAAAGTCTTCCTAGCGATACATCGTCCACATTCCTTCACATACTGTTCCACGTCTTTGTTCATGCGTGGCCAGTAAAAACGATCCTTGCAAAGTTCTGTGGTTCTCTCAATTCCAAGGTGACCTGATTTATCATGCAGTGAATGTAGCACCTGGGCCTGGTACTTTTCTGGTAAAACTAGTTGCTGTCTCTCCCTCCCACATGTGCTTTTTGTAATTCGGTACAGGAGATTTTGTCGAATGTTCAATTTTGCACCCTGTTGTCTCAAAGGGGTTAGGATTCTTTGGAGTGGTAAGTATATGCCCTTTCGCCACTTCCTGCTTCACCCGTCCAATGATGGGGTCTTGCTCTTGTGCTAGTCTCAAGTCAGAGTTTGACAACTGCTCCTTGTGTCCTATTTCTAGCTGTACTGGACAAACATACACAGAGGGAATGACGTCTGGAGTAGCACCTAACTGATCCACCAGTCTACTGCAGGATTCATTGGAGTTGGGATTATCGGCAAACCGACAGATGGCCCTTACTCCAGAGCTTGGTAGGTCCACCCATTCGTGCGACAGGTCAGTGGGAGAGGGATAGCGCGACAGTACATCCGCATCGATGTTGTGACGCCCTGGCTTGTACTGAAGGCTAAAGTCATAAGTGGCTAAGGCAGCCAGCCATCGATGCCCAGTAGCACTAAGCTTAGCGCTTGTCAGAACGTAGGTGAGGGGATTGTTATCCGTTCTAACTGTGAACTTTGCTCCATACAAGTAATCGTGGAATTTATCCACAACAGCCCACTTGAGTGCCAGGAATTCCAACTGATGAATGGGATAGTGGTGTTCCGCAGCACTCAGTTTACGGCTGGCATAGGCGACAGGTCTCAGTCCGTCTGTGTATTCCTGATTCAACACGGCGCCTAAACCACTCAGGCTTGCATCGACATGTAGGACATAGGGCTTAGCTGGATCTGCATATGCCAGAACTGGAGCATGGGTAAGGCAATCGATAATGTTATGAAAGGCCTCTGTGCAACTTTGGTCCCAGCGCTCACCAAATGGCTCTGACTCTTGATAGTACTTGCCTTTCTGTACAGCTTTATTTTGACCTCTGACAGGGGGATAACCTTTGGTCAGGTCAGTCAGGGATCTCCCGATGGCAGAGTAGTTCTTAATAAAGCGGCGATAGAAACCACAAAATCCTAGAAAGGACCTCAGGGACTTTAAATCATGTGGCATCTTCCAGTGAGACACGGCTTTCACCTTCTCAGGATCAGGAGCTATCCCGACAGCAGATACAATATGTCCCACATATTTGACTTGTGGCTGACAAAACTGGCACTTGTCTATAGACACTTTGAGCCCATATTCTTCCAGCCGATCCAACACTTTCAGCAGCCTTTCCTCATGCTCTCCTCATGCTCCAGATATTAAAAGCGCTATATAAATAAAGGTGACTTGACTTGACTTGACCTTTGGTCCCAGCGCTCACCAAATGGCTCTGACTCTTGGTAGTACTTGCCTTTCTGTAAAGCTTTATTTTGACCTCTGACAGGGGGATAACCTTTAGTCAAGTCAGTCAGGGGTCTCACGATGGCAGAGTAGTTCTTAATAAAGCGGCGATAGAAACCACAAAATCCTAGAAAGGACCTCAGGGACTTTAAATCATGTGGCATCTTCCAGTGAGACACGGCTTTCACCTTCTCAGGATCAGGAGCTATCCCGACAGCAGATACAATATGTCCCACATATTTGACTTGTGGCTGACAAAACTGGCACTTGTCTATAGACACTTTGAGCCCATATTCTTCCAGCCTATCCAACACTTTCAGCAGCCTTTCCTCACGCTCTTCTAATGTACGCCCAAAGACTATGAGGTCGTCCAAATATACGATGACCTGGAGAAGATGCATATCTCCCACGGCTCTCTCCATTAGCCGCTGAAATGTGGCTGGAGCCCCCGTGATTTCCTGTGGCATGCGTTCAAACTGGTAAAAACCCAGAGGACAGATGAACGCTGTTTTTTCCTTGTCAGCCATCTCAATCTGGTTATAGCCACTTCGCAAGTCTAAGACAGAGAACCATTTACTTCCAGATAGACAGTCCACCGCATCATCTATCCTGGGAGTGGTATATTGGTCAGGAATTGTTCTGGAATTCAAAGTCCGGTAGTCTATGCACATACGGATGGTTCCATTTTTCTTCCGAGCAATAACTATTGGCGAGGCATAAGGGCTCCTGGATTCTGTTATGATACCGGCGCAGTTGTTGAACTTGCCTCTTTAATTCTTGTACTTCAGACTCTCCATGGGTATCAGCTCTTTTCTTCTCCTGCTTGTCTTTCGGATCAATCCTCATGGAAGAAACAGAAACGGTGTTTGGATCTTCCCCAAATCTGGATCTTAGCTCCTGAATTTCTGCTTGGAGTTCTCGGATTACAGAGTCTAATTTATCATCCTGCTTCAGCTGTATGGGCTTCATGGATGCATTGATTTTATGGCGAGCGGCTTCATTCTCCTCGGCTTCTTTGATTTCATTTAGCAGTGCTAAGAAAATGGGTGGCTGTTCTCTTCGCTCCCTCAGTCTAAACTGCAGAAGCATCAGATCCGACTCAACCGCCCCTCTAATCAGCTGTTCAACCCTTGTTCTGTCCATCATCTGGAGACTCAATCCTCCTCTCTGCACCACTTTCGTTAAGGATTTCTCCATCCTACGCAGGAAGTCAGACAAAGCTTCCCCGGGGAATTGACGTAAGAGACTAAAGGCAAAGTATAGATCTTTCCCTGACTTAGAGGTTCCAAATATGTTTTCTAACGCTTCAAGATATTGAGAAGCACTGGCCTCAGGACTTGAAAATCGAACAGCTTTGATAATGTCAAGGGCTGGCCCTTTCACGCTTTCCATTATTCTTCGCCGTTTTTCCTTCTCAGAACACTCACATTCCTCAGTCATTAATCTGGCCTGTTCTATCCAGTTTTCTAGACTTTCCTCTTCAGTCGGTATTGGAACAGTGCCAGAAAAGATACGTAGTCGTCGATAAGCATTCGTTTCACCTGATGGTTTCGTTGTCTTCTCCAGAAGTTCACCCACGGCACGTATAATGGACTCAGGGGAACTGGAACTCTGTGGAGAGAATAAGGCCTGTATATCAGTCATAGACTTTCCCTCATCCATTAAGAACTTCGACAATTTCTTGGAAAACTCAGAGGCTGAAACATCGACAGGTGCCACTACAACTTTGCATGACTCTTCTCCATCTGGCCGCAGCAGTTCAGCTGGAATACGGGCAGGGTCGATGACCTCACGACACTCAAAAAGCACCATTTCGAGTCTCTAACCCGCACTCTTCCCAAGACTTTTACAGTCTGAACAGTATCTTCAATACTTGCTACTTCAGTAGTTGCAGGTACTCCAATCAACAGTATTGCATGAGTCTCCTCAATCTCTGCCTCCTTACACCACTTGGAGAGTTCAGCGAGCAGAAGAGGGCTACTTCCAAAGGCCATGCTGAAACTTCAGGCAGATAATTATCAATTGACTTATTGACACTTAAAATATAACTCAGCTCTTGCTTTCAATCTTTTGTCTTCATGATGGTAACAGGAAGTAGTATCTCGGACGAGCCCCCAAATTGTGTAGCGCACCCTACCCTTAACCTTTAATAGGGCGGAGCACCGGTTTCTGACAGTGTGTCTCCCAACTATATATTAATATTCCTCCTATTACCCTATTTGGCTACTGTAACCCAGATTAACTAGGTTTATACTCCTACAGTAATATTCCTATACAGCATGGGAATTAAACCAACAGAGAATAGCCTTAATCAACACAAAAGGTAAGTATGAAAAAGTTAACAATTTGATTTATTTATAACCAACAGGGAAAAATTGAAATAAATGAATGTATGTCTCAATAAAGACTGGAAGGAATTACCCAAATGTCTGTTGTGTATTTTACTTTGGATAAATACCTATTTTAAAAAACGGTTCAGTACTTACACTCTTATGAAAATGACATTTAACCCAAATTAATGAATTTCACATTAAAATGGTACTCAATTAGCAACAAAAATAACAGCAGACACAATATGAAAGAGATGAGGAAAATTCAAAACCCCTAATACACTTAGGTTGTTTCAATAACACCAAACAACAGTATGAAACCCCAAACTTCACTTACTGTAAGTAGAACATAAACGATAATAACCGTCAATATACATATGTGGGCCCACACACACACACACAGTCACACAACCC